AGGGGTTCTTCTCCAGCAGGCTGTTCAGGCCATTGTTGCGAGCCTTCTCTTTGCGGTGAGTCGTTTTATTTATTTATTTTTCCCATTTTGGTATTATGATTATGCCTTAGGTTATCTATACACGTTATAGCCTAATTTATTACACCGTGTAGCATAAAATAGGAATTTATTGCTATGATTGGAGGCTATGCATAGGAATCCAAAAGTAGGACTGGCCCATAAATGTCTTCTGAATAATAACACTGTCAATAATGGATACATGAGGAGGTGATTAATCATGTTCTTGTATGTGCTTTTATATGTATTTATAACGTTGATAGTTTTCTCTCTTTTGTATTTTATTTTTATGTATGTTATGTATTTATGATCCTGATGAATATTATGGTTATGTTTTCTGGTTTACAGTTATTGTTGGCAAATTTGTGTATAAATTTATATTTTGGTGGGAATCTTTTCCTTTTGAGAAATTTTAAAGTTTTGATTACATTTTATCATGTGATTCTTGTGAATAATTATCCATCACCAGTTGTTAGGCTACATTAATAACCAAAAATATTGAACCTGTTCTTCTTTTTGTTTGGTGTGTTTCTTGTTTCTTGAGTACCAGAAGAAGATAATTCAGTCAAAATACAGTTTTGCCAACACAATCTATGCTGTTTGATGTTCTGTGTAAAATATAGGGACATTTTGCTGTCAAAATACAGTTTTGCCAACACAATCTATGCTGTTTGATGTTCTGTGTAAAATATAGGGACATTTTGCTGAAAAATAGGTCGCCGTCAGGATCTTGGGACACATCTATTCCTACCACTCCTAGGTGATCGATATAGAACAAAGATGTTGCTATATTTGGTTGCATGCTTTTATTACCGAATCCTTTTTCTCTCTCCGTATCAATAAAAATAGGCATTCAGCCCAAGATGCACATTAGTGAAAGGCGGAGTGCCCTATGCAGTATGCACTTTTCTTTTATCAAGGATTCTATTTATATCATGGATATCATGGATATCTCTTAATTCTCTTGGAAAGTTACGAGTCTTATTATAGAACCTACAGTTAAAGATTTGCATCCGGAAATGGCTTAACTTATTTCTGGGTGATGTCTCTGTACGGATCCAAGTCCTCAAGTACTTGCTACCCCACATGTTCATGATTCGTGGTTGGCAGGTGAAGTTTACTTGAATTCTATCTTGCTGCTGATCGATCATGGTGATCTAGTAGGCTGGGACAAATCCTAGAGGTGGATGGAGAGATTTGGGTAGTGAATGTTTAATTTAGCAGACTCTAGATTGCACATAAATAAATGAGCTTATGATCAAGGGAAAAGGTCTTGAAACTTCTTGTTTTGTTCTTGATTGGAAAAGCTGACATTATTCCAAGTTCCGCCTATTACCGTTATGCATACATATTCTATAATTAATATCTTTAGGAAATAACTATAAACTTCATCTGTTACATATTGTTTAAAAATATAACAAATTACATTTGAGTTTAGTAAAGGGATTCAGGTAGAGGGTAACTGAGCTAGATGATTATGCTAGGGCATGACAATCCCACATAGTTTGAGTTCTTTTTGGAATCAAGTATTTTCTTTTTCCAAAAGCTAAATCTGTGTTAATATGCATCATGGTTTGGATATTTATTCTACAGTCAAGAAATAATCTGAATTTTTGAGTTGCTTGTGGTATTCACAATGATTTTGAAATGATTGCATATAGTCTACTCCCTTATCAGCTGTTTCATCCTAATAACAAAACTGCTTCGACTTCGATATATGCATAATGAAATTAATATTGTGGTGTCGCCTGTCATTAAGTTCTTCTCATGAATAAAATTGTAAATTGTTTATATTCCTTCCCTATAGGGCATCCTTTAACTTTCAAATTAAGATTTCAATTCTTGTCTTCGTATCGGTAAATATTCATTTTGCAAGAATTGGAAAACAGAGGAGCTGTCAGGTAAGAAAGGAATGAATTTTTTTTTGAGTTCCTTTCATGGATTCGCTTTGAGACTTGGATCCTTCGATGGTTGAGGCGCCTTACCAAGAGCACGGCCGGATTTGGGGTTTTCACAACCGAGCAAACCTGACGAGGACATCATTATAGTTGAACTTTTATTATTGTTTCAGTATTTTAGTTGGACTTTTATTATTGTTTCAGTTGGACTTTTATTTAAGTTTACGTATTTTAGTTAGGACTTAAGTAATGGGCTTGGCCCTATATTTCTAGGTTTTTATTATTTAAACCTATCTTGGTTTGTAAATTTGGACGATGAATTTGATTAATTAAAGAGTTGGCTGTAGCCGTTTTCCTCCTTCTTCCCTCTGTCCCTGCCCTTCTTCTTCCTCCCTTCCCCCTTCTCTCTTCTTGTTATCTTTATTGAACTAATCATCCTACATCAAATTGGTATCAGAACTAAACCTGGATTTCTTCAAAGAGTTGGCTGTAGCCGTTTTCCTCCTTCTTCCCTCTGTCCCTGCCCTTCTTCTTCCTCCCTTCCCCCTTCTCTCTTCTTGTTATCTTTATTGAGCTAATCATCCTACATCAAAACCACTTCTCCAATGCCTTTCCGAATGAGAAACGCTATCCACGGAACACCGCCTTCTATAATGACAACGTTATTGTTAAGTTAAATTTGTATATGTGGGACTGTAGTATCCTGTAAAGTTGCATTTATTGTTAAATGGTTGGGTTGTGGGTAGGTTTAAATTTCCTACGA